ATTCTCGTCTTTCCCTCAAAATCCCTGCATCTTCCTTGAAATCCCCGCATTTCCCTGGATATTCCTGCGCTTCCTTCTAATTCCTTGTATTTCTCTTTAAATCCCTGTATTTCTCTCTGTGTATTGCTGTATTTTGCTCTAAATCCCTGTATTTCCTGTAAATCTCTGTATTTTCCTTTGCTCCATCTCTTCCCTTCCTGCCCTTCCCTTCCCACCCCTGGGAGATCATCCTGGAGAAGCCAAGGAATGGGAAGTTGGGCACTTTTATCCCTCTGGGTTTCCAGGTTCATCCCTGAGGATTTCCAGGTTTATCCCTGAGGGTTTCCAGGTTTATTCCTCGGGGTTTCCAGGTTCATCTCTGAGAGTTTCCAAGTTCATCCCTAATATTCTCCAGGATTTTATCCCTCGGGGTTTCCAGGTTTATCCCTGATATCCTTCAGGATTTTATCCCTGAGTCTCTCCAGTTATATCCCTGACATTCTCCTGGTATCCCTGGCATCTCTGAGAGGTTCCCCATTACCCCATTCCCTGTGCCATTCCCAGCACTGATTCCTGCCATTCCCTGTGCCATTCCCTGTGCTATTTCCTGCCATTCCCTGTGCCATTCCCAGCACCAATCCTGCCATTCCCGGTGCCATTCCCTGTGCCAGTCACAGCACTGATCCTTGCCATTCCTGGTGCCAATCCCTGCCATTCCCTGTGCCAATCCCAGTGTCATTCCCTGTGCCATTCCCGGTGCCATTCCCAGTGCCATTCCCTGTGCCATTCCCGGTGCCATTCCCAGTGCCAATCCCGGTGCCATTCCCAGTGCTAATCCCTGCCATTCCCGGTTTCATTCCCAGTACCATTCTCAGTGCCATTCCCAGTGTCATTCCTGGTGCCAATCCCTGCTGTTCCCAGTGCCAATCCCTGCCATTCCCGGTGCCATTCCCAGTACCAATTCCAGTGCCAATCCCGGTGCCATTCCCAGTACCATTCCCAGTGCCAATTGCTGCCGTTCCCAGTGCCATTCCCAGTGCCATTCCTGGTGCCATTCCCGGCACTGATCCCTGCCATTCCCTGTGCCGTTCCCGGTGCCATTCCCGGTGCCATTCCCGGTGCCATTCCTGGTGCCATTTCCGGCACTATTTCCGGCACTGATCCCTGCCATTCCCTGTGCCGTTCACGGTGCCATTCCCTGTGCCAATCCCTGCCATTCCCGGCACTGATCCCTGCCGTTCCCGGTGCCGTTCCCGGTGCCATTCCTGGTGCCATTCCCGGCACTGATCCCTGCCATTCCCGGTGCCATTCCCGGTGCCATTCCCTGTGCCGTTCCCGGTGCCGTTCCCGGTGCCGTTCCCGGTGCCGTTCCCGGTGCCGTTCCCGGTGCCGTTCCCGGTGCCGTTCCCGG